CCCGCCCACAGGAAGCTGCTGCCCCGGCCAGAAACGGAGGAGGACTTCCTGCGTGTGTGCCGGCTGAAGGAGAAGGAGCTGGAGGCACTGCCCTGCCTGTACGCCACGGTGGAGGCCGACACGTGGGGCGGCGTGGAGGAGCTGCTTCGTGTCATCAAGGACAAGATCGGCGAGGAGCAGCGCAAGACCGTCTGGGTGGACGAGGACCAGCTGTGAGGCTGTGCCCTGGGTCTGCACAGACGGGGGGCACGCACCCACCCAGCAGTGCCGTGGGCGGGGTGGCCTCCGGAGCAACCGGCCCCCTGTGGACAGGTGCCACCGTGGGGACAGACCATCTGGGTGGACGAGGACCAGCTGTGAGGCTGTGCCCTGGGTCCGCACAGACAGGTGGCATACACCCACCCAGCAGTGCCGTGGGCGGGGTGTTCTCTGGAGCAGCTGGCCCCTGGGGACAGGTGCCACCGTGGGGACAGACATGCCTGGGGAGGAGCAGGGAGTCGCAGTTTCATCCCCAGTCCCTCAGGCCAAGTCGTTCATCCCTGCTGGCATCGTCTGGGTGAGCAGGCTGGACAGAGGGTACCCAGCCAGAATCCCCAGCCAGTGGTGCCCTCTCAAGCCAGAGCAGCAATTGAATGTAACGCATGGCACAAGTACACCGCTTGGACAGGTGCACCACCTGGACAGGTGTGGGACAGGTGCATCTGGACAGGTGTGGGACAGGTGCATCTGGACAGGTGTGGGACAGGTGCACCACCTGGACAGGTGTGGGACAGTGCATCTCCTAGACGTGGGACAGGTGCATCTGGACAGGTGTGGGACAGGTGTGCCTGGACTAGAGGCGAGGGTGCCCCTGCCCTCAGGTGTACAACGCACGTTCCCAGCCAGGACAGGTCGCAGGGGTGCAGTGGTGCCCCTGCCCTCAGGTGTACAACAGGCGTCCCCAGCCAGGACGGGTCGCAGGGCTGGAGTGGTGTGCTGTGCTCATGGTTTTTTGCATTAAAATTCCTTGTTTTCTACCATTTTGTTTGCCAGTTGGCAGAGGTCTCTACTTTTGTCACCTTCTTCATCTGGCAGCCCCCGCAGCAGCCTTACTTTAGGTCCGAGCAGGCTCAGGCCCCAGTGAGCATGTAGGGGAAAGGGCTAGGGGGGTACCCCAGGGCCCCAGGATAGGCCTGGCTGACAGCTGCTTTGGGGATGTCATTGCTAACAGCATCCTCTTTGACTGAGGTGGGTCCTGGTTTGGACAATCAGGTACCAAGCTGTCTGGTAAGAGCCCATCCTGAGGAGCTGCTGGGAGGGCCTTCTGTCTGTACCACCACGTGCCCTGACACCAGGCTGCCCTCACTCAGCCATTTGCCTCTGCCCCCCGTTCTCCGTCCCGCCACGCGGGGTCCTGCAGCACAGCCTCATGCTGCCCCCAGAGCAGGAATGAGCAGGTGGGGTCAGGCTCGCCGTCGCCGAAGAGTGGGGGTTGGAGACCAGCAAGGCCGCTTCCCCACTGGATGGCCTCTGGGTTCCAGAATCACCAAAAGGTGATGCAGACATGCCAGGTCTGGTCCAACAAGGCTAGCCGTGCCCTGAGCAGGTGCCACACTGCCGACTAAGAGACTTGGGAGTTTGAGCCTTAAGCCCAGGTCTGTCTGTCTGCTCCAGGGCAGTGTGGGAGTCACTGCTAGCTGACAGCCCAGTATCCCTCCTTCCTTTCTTACTGATGGAATCTGATTTTAGTCTGGAAGACTGCGTGCACAGCTCAAAGACCATATCCCAGCCTCCCTTGCAGCTAGGGTCATACAGAAAATGTAAGGGGTGGTGTCAGTAGAATGTAAGGAGATTGCCCAGGATGCAGACATGATGGCTGGAACTCTGGCAATCATCTTGGGTCTTAGGATGGGTACCATGGGCAGAGGAGGGTAGAGCAGGGTTTCCTAGGCTGTCAGTCCTTGGAAGCCGACTGCCACATCTTTCTGCCATAAGGTGGTTGGTGGCTTCAAACCACCAACCTTTTGGTTAGCAGCTGAGTGCTTAACCACTGCACCACCAGGGCCCCAATCTGAGTGGTATCCTTATGAAAGAGGAGGACAGCCAAGGAAAGACAGAGGCAGGGATTGGAGAAATGCTGCCACAGCAACTGTGCCCAGAGCCCCCAGAAGCAGGGCAGAGGCAGGAACAGACTCCCTCAGAGCCTCAGAGGGAATCAACATGGCCGACACCTGACCTCGGACGCCCAGCCTCCAGAGCCGGGAGGCCGTGAATTTCTGTTCCAAGCCCCCAGCTTGGGGATGGCTTGCTGCGCTCACCCCAAGACACAGAGCCACGCTCCAAGAGCGCATCAGCGATGTCGCTTCCTCAGACAGCCCCGAGCAAGTGCACTCTTGGGCCCGTGTGGCCGTGATTAGGGAGGCCTGCTTCCGCCGCTTGTTGAAGCCTCCAGTCCAACGGTAAATCTTCCCCGATCACATTTCCACTCGGAATCCATGTTCCCCACGAAGCTGCTAGCGCAGAGGGGCGGCGGGCCTGGGGAAGTCCCAGAGGACAGCTGGCTGGCTCATCTGTGTGCTTTTAACTCCTGGTTTCTGGGCCAACCCCAAGTGCGGAATGCCCGGACCTCGATTTGTGCATGGTTTGCAGGTGGAGGGAGGGGAGGGGAGACGTTGGTGGTGCGATTTGGTTTTCCGGGTTTTTGAGGTGGCCTGGGATGCAGAGCTGTGGGAGGCAGACAGGGCCGGGGTTGGGACGACCTCCCCTTTCTGGTCTCTCCAGGGATGAAAGTCGGGGTCTGGGGTTTGGCCCCTGGAGGTCCATCCACATGCAGGTTTCAAAGGAGACCCCTGGCGTCGTCCACTGACTCTGGGCTCCTTTCTTGGCTGGTGGCTGCAGCACAGTTGTCGGACCTGTGGCTGTGGCCTGGCTTTGGCTCGTGAGCTAGCCCAGGGCTCAGGGCAGCTGCCCAGAGACTCAGTGGGGCCGGCTTCCCATGCCATGAGCCCGGGGAGCAGGGGGTTGTGCCAGGCTGATACGGCCAGTGGGCAGTGCCTGGTCCCTCCCAGGGTGCCAGCCACACAGCTCAGAGCCACGGCGAGGTGTCCCCCGACCCCAGCTCATGGGTGAACTGTCATGTGTCCGTGTGGTGTCCACTTCTCTGGGCAGAATGTCCAGCCTCTCTCGGGTCCCCAGTGCACCCCCTGATCCCAAACACATTCAGAACCATCACTCGTGTGCTTGGCAGACGGGAACCCGTTGTCCGGAGCTCCTGCTGTGCCGAGCACTCTGTGCTGTTCATTCACTGATGCCAGGTCGCCCCTTGGTTTTCTGCACAGAAGGGTGGGGCTCAGAGGGGTCACACAGCTCTGGCCGATCTGCCGGCTGCAGGCTCTGTGGGGTCTCTGGATTCAGAGCTGCTGTTCGTCCTGGTGGCGTTCGTCATGCCCCACCCCCGGTACCGGGCATGGCGCTGGCATCAGGCAGGGGCAGGGTTGGGGCCCGGCTCACGGGATCATCAGACTGAGAGGATGCAGAGCCCCAGGCCACAGTGCTGGCAAAGACGTGCTGTCTTGGTCAACCCTGAAAGGGGCTCCCGGGGCAGCACAGGAAGGGGCAGTTTTGAGCCTGGGGGCCGGCCGGCAGCTGCTGCCCTCAGAACCGCTCCGTCTTCCAGCCTCATTTTCTCAGGAAGCTGCTGTCCGGCCTGCCATCCTGCTCCTGGCCGATATGGTCCCACACTGCACACCTGGTACGTCCCCCGGCCTCCCAGTACCACTCCGGCCCTCCACTCGGCCAGTGCCAATTTCCCAGAGCACAACCACTCCCTTCTTTCAGCCTCTTCAGTGGTGGCTCAGTGTCCCTGGGATGAAGTCCGACAGCCACTGGGGCCACCGGGCCCTCCATGTCCCGTCTGCCCACAACCACCTTCACTTTTCCCATCCCCCCACATCCCCCCTAAGCACACTGACTCTCTGCCCTTCCTCTGTTTCTGGGGCTTCACACATTCTGTTCCTTTTCTCTGACACACTGTTTCCTGCACTCCTTGTCCGGTTAGCTCCTACTGATGCTTCAGCTGTTGCTACCATGTCCCCTCCTCTGGGGGGCTTCCCTGATGCCTGGCTGAGGTACATCCTTGTCACGACTTCGTCTGTTGCGTTGTGAGACTTCCTTGATTGTCTGACTTCTCCTAACCATGAGCTTCCCACGGGTGGACAGTGCACCTACCTCTTCCCCCGCTTGGCTCCCAAGCCGGACACGTAGCTGCTGCCTTACACTTACTCGGTCCGTACTCCCAGCAGCGTTGGCCCATCTGTGTCCCCTCAGTGCCCCGTGTCCCTAAACCAGTTGCCATCAAGTCAACTCCAACCCACAGCACCCACGTGTGTCAGAGCAGCACTGGGTTCTGTGGGGTTTTCAGTCCTGGCTTTTCACAAGTAGATCACCAGGCCTTTCTGCTGCAGTGCCTTTGGGTGGACTCGAGCCACCAACCTTCTGGTTAGCAGCCAAGGGCTTAACCATTTGCACCAGGCCACAGGTGAGTCCACTCTCCTGAGTCCAGGAGGCCCTGCCAGGGCTGCTAGCATTAGCTGGTCAACACGCTGACGAAGAAAAACTAATCCTAGACAGACACTGGAGGAATTGGTGCCCGCATTGCCACCCAGCAATGCAGTTCAGAAAGAGAGGACGGTTGGGGTTCGAAGACACCCCCGTGGCGACCTTTCGTTGGCACACTTTTCTCCTGGCCCAAGCACCTCACTGAATATTAATGCATTTCCAAAAAGAGGGACAAAAGGCAGAGGTCACATTTGCCTGTCACTTGCTTTCAGGGCCCCTGAAGAGCAGGGCCCTGGCTAGGGGCCAGCAGGGGAGCTGGGGGCCACCCTGGCCTCTTGTCCATCAAGGCCCCGGCTCAGGGAGTGGCCGGTCCTGTGCTCAGCCACGCTGTGGGGGAGGAGTGGACTCCTCAGGGCTGTGTGGGCTGGGAGGGTCGGGCCGTGTTCCTGACAGTGGGGTGGTGGGAGGCCAGATGTGGGAAGGAGGACCTTGAACTCTAAAATCACTATCACCCCAGAGGCCTCCACTTCATCATCAGTGAGGTGAGGCGAGAAACCTAGGTGGGTGCCACATGGGCCACTGTGAGGCCCCAGGGACCCATGTGGACCCCAAATTGTCATCTCCAGCCCAGCCCCATCAAAGCACTGTGTCTCACAGCCAGAGTCCCTGGGTGGGCCAAG